ATTTTCTTTGTAGAGTATTATGCCAACTTTAATTAGGGACAGTTATACTTCTTCCTTTGCATTCTGTATACCTTGTCTTATTGCACTGACTAGAACTTCCAGTACCATGTTAAATAAAAGTGGGGAGAGAACACTCTTGCGTTCTTCCCTGTCTTAAAGGGAAAGCAGTCAGTCTTCATTAAATATGCTGTTATTATTGTTGTTACGTGCCTTGGAGTCGGACCTGACTCATAGCGACCCCTCCTTGGGTTTCTGAGGCAGTATCACTACAAAAGTAGATTGCCCAACCTTCCTTCCAAGGAGTGGCTGGCAGGTTTGAATTGCCAGCCTTCTGGTTAGCAGTCAAGTGCCTTAGGCACCATGCTACCAGAGCTCCTATTAAATATGATAGCTCTATGTTTTTTGTACATGCTCTTTATCAAGTCAAGGGAGTTCCCCTCTATTCTTAGTGTGCTGAGAATTTTATCATGAATGGATTCTGGAGTCTGTTAAATGTTTTTTTGCATTAATTGATATGATCATATAGTTTTTCTTCTTTAGCCTGTGAATATGGTGGATTACAGAGAATGATTTTCAAATACTGAACTAGACTAGCCTTGCATCTCTAGAATAAAACCCACTTGACGGTAGTATATATTTCCCTTTATATATTTGCTGGATTTGATTAGCTTATATTTAGTATTTTTGCATCTATGTTCATGATGGATATTGGTCTATAGTTTTCTTTTTTCATACTATCTTTTTTTAAAAAATTGTTATTTTTGGTGAAACTTTACACAGAAAATTATGTTCCCCTTTAAACTTTGTCTTGTTTTGATAATAGGGTAATTCTGTCCTCATAAAATTATTTGGGAAGTGTTTTTACTTATTCCAGGAGCTCTGGCAGCATAGTGCCTAAAGCACTTGACTGCTAACCAGAAGGCTGGTGGTTCAAACCCACCAGCCACTCTGAAGGAAGATGGGACAATCTACTTCAGTAGTGATGCTGCCTCAGAAACCCAAGGAGGGGTCACTATGAGTCGGATCTGACTCCACGGCACACAACAACATTTTCTAGAAGACATTATTCAGAATTTATGTTAATTCTTTCTTAATTGTTTAGTGGAATTCTCCACTGAAACCACCTGGGCCAGAAGATTTCTTTTTCAACAGTTTTCAGCTATGAAGTCAATTTCCTTAATAGTTATAGGGCTAATTCAAATCATCTATCTAGTATTAAGGAACCCTGGTGGACCAGTGGTTAACTACTCAGCAGCTAACAGAAAGGTTGGTGGTCTGAACTCACCACTTGCTCTGTGGGAGAAAGATGTGGCAGTGTGCTTCCATAAAGATTTACAGCCTTGGAAACCCTATGGGGCAGATCTACTCTGTCTTACAAAGTTGCTATGAGTCAGAATCGACTCAATGGCAGGGATTTGGGTTTATTTATTTGGTTTATTTAGTATTTTGTGAGTTTTGGTAGTTTGTACTTTAAACAAATTGGTCTACTCCCTCTAAGTCGTCCAGTTGATGTGTATGGACTTGTTTGTAGTATTCCTATTATTATTCTTTCAATGTCTGCAGGCTGGTCCTGTTTTATTATTGACAGTTGTAATTTACTATTTACAACATCCGTTTTGTCAGTCTTACTAGAAGTTTACTGATTTTTTTCAATCAGTTATTTTGTTTCACTGATTTTTCTCCAATGTTTTTCTACTTATTTCATTGATTTTTGTTCATATCATTATTTTCTTTTTTCTTGTTGTTTTGGGCTTATTTTGCTGTTTTTTTTTTTTTTTTTCCCTACTTTATTAAGTGGACAGCTTTCATCATTGAGTTGAAACACTTCTGTTCTAATGTAAGCATTTAGTGCCATAAATTCCTTTGTCAGCAATGTTTTAGCAGAGTGCCTGAAATTTTGATACGTTCATTTTAATTTAATTCAGTAATATATTTTCAATTTCTCTTGAAGCCCCATGACTTATTTAGAACTGTATTCTTTGCTTTCCAAGTGGAGATTTACCTATCATCTTTCTATTAACAATTTCTATTTTGAATCCATTATGGTTTGAGAGCACACATTATGTATGATTTAAATTCTTTCAAATATGTTGATATTTGTTTGATGGCCCAGGATACTGTCTATACTGCATGTTTCATGGGTCCCTAAGAAGAATGTCTATTCTGTTTTTGTTGGGTGGAGTAATCTATAAATGTCAGTCAGATCCTATTGGTTCAGTTTTAAGTTTTTTTTAGTGTCCTTTCTTTTTTTCTGCCTAGTAGTGCTACGAAATGCTGAGAGAGGTGCAATTAAGTCTCCAATTATAATTCTGGATTCAATTCTTTCATCTCTCAATTCTATCATTTTTGCTTTACATATTTTGAAGCTGTTGTTCAGTGCATGCACATTTAGGATTGCTGTATCTTCTTGGTGGATGGATCCTTTCATTCATTATTTAATGTTGCTCTTTGTCCCTTATAATTTTCTTTTCTCTGAAATCTACTTCATATGATATTAATATAGCTACTCCTGCTTTATTTGGTTAATATTTGCATGGTCTATCTTTTTCCATATATTTACTTTCAACCAACCAGTATTATTATATTTGAAGTGAGTTTTCTATGGACAGTATATAGCTGGGCCATGTTTTATTATTCACTCTGTCAACTGTCTTTTAATTGGTATATTTTGATTATTTACATTTAATACAATTATATATTTGAGCTGAAGACTGATATTTAGTTATTTTGTTTTTTCTGTTTCAGTTCATTTCTCTGTTTCATTTTTCCTGCTCTCCTGTGAGTTACCAGAACATGTTTTAAAATGACATCTTGATTTAACTAGTGTTTTTCAGGGCAGTGGTGATTCAGTGGTACAATTCATGCCTTCCATGCAGGAGAACTGGCCAATGCTTCTCAAGTGCAGCCACCACTTTTCTGTAAGTGGAAGCTTGCATGTTGCTATGATGCTTAACAGGTATCAGTGAAGCTTCCAGATAAAGACATACTAGGGAGAAAGACCTGGAGATCTACTTCTGAAAATCAGTCAGTGAATCACAGTGGTCCTGTGCAAGGAATCACCATGAGTCAGGAACTGACTTGATGGCAGTTACAATGGTGCTTTAAAAAACTTTTAATTTTGAGATAATTATAGATCGCACGAAGTTTCAGATATAAATAGTGAGGTATAACACATACTCTTCATTCTGTTTCCTCCAGTGGCAATATCTTACACAGCTATATCACAATCAGCAAAACTGACATTGTTCTATCTTCAAGTTCACTGATTTTTGCCACTGTCTTCTCCATTCTTCATATGAGCCAATTCTTCTAATGAGATTTTATTTCAATTATTATATTTTTCAGTTTCAATACTTCCATTTTCTTATTTTCCATTTCTTTGTTGAGATTTGGTATCTTTTTATTTGTTTTGAGAATGTATACAGTAGCTTGCTGAAACATCTTTATGATAGCTGCTTTAAAAGCCTTGTCAGATAATTCTAAAATCTGTTTCCTCTTAGTGACAATGTTTGTTATTCTAGATCATGTTACGAGATTCTGGATCATATTTAAATCTCCCATTTTAGCTGTAGGGAGCTCTGGTAGCATAGTGGCTAAGACACTTGCCTGCTAACCAGACGGCTGGCGGTTCAAACCCACCAGCCACTCCTCGGAAGGAAGGTTGGGCAATCCTACTTCCGTAGTGATACTGCCTCGGAAACCCAAGGAGGGGTCACTATGAGTCGGGGCCGACTCGACGGCACATAACAACAACAACAACATTTTAGCTGTACTCAAACCATGCCAGCAGGGGAAGAGGGCACTGAATCTTTACCACTGGCTGTCCACATGGTCCCCACTGATACTTGGAGGGGGTAACTTTTTAATCATTGGACAAGGGTATAAGTCAACACTCCACACTCATTGGCACTGTGGGTGGGAAATAGATACCTTGTTACTGCTGGGCATGTTAGAAGTATAAGCTCCTCACTTGGTCTATGTTAATGGCTCTCCCAGTGGGGAAGGGTTACTTACCACTACAGGGTAAGGCAGGGGTGGGGGGAGGTAAGGGAATTTATTACTGCTAAATATAATACAGGAGGCTTTGGTGACGCATCAGTTAAAACATTTGGCTACTAACCAAGATGTTGGCAGCTTGAACTAACCAGGTGCTCAGCTGGAGACAGACGAGGCAGTCTGTTTCCATAAAGATTTACAGCCTCAGAAACCATATGGGGCAGTTCTACTCTTTCCTATAGGATCACTAAAGTCAGAATCGATGGCACGCCATGGCAATGGGGTGGGTTAATGTAAAAAAAAAAAAAAAGTCCAGGTTCCCTTTTTGGCCACCACTGGCATCACATAGAGGGAGAGGGATGCCTTGATACAGCTGAGGGGATGTCAGAGTCCAAATTCCTCACTTGGCCTCCTCTAATACCATCCCAGCAGGAAGAGTGATATAGGTTTAAGTCTAGGCCCTCCACTCAACCTTTGCTGACAATAAATGCAGGGGCCCTGATTTTTCTCCCTGGTGTTGTTTTGCAAGAGTATAGTATTTATTGTTAAATAGGTTTCTGTCTTTCTAGTCTGCTCCTTCCAATTTGAAAGAGAAAGAAAGCTTTTCTTGGGGCTTTTGCCTGTACTCGTTGGTGTTTCTGGGTTATGGGCTTCTCTAGTATTCAGTCTGAGACATTTAGGAGAAATAAAGAAAATCCAGAGAATTTACTACTGTGTTATTCTTCAAGTCCCAGGTTCATAGTTGATCTGTCATCTACCTTTCAATCTTATGCTTATTTTATATGCATGTTCAGAGTTTTCAAGTGTACTTAGTGGAAGGGATAGAAAAAATGTGCCCACTTCATCTTCTCTGGAACCGAAGGTACATACATATGTATTTAAGGTATTAAAGACCCGATTTAACCTAAATGTATAGCGTCAAAAGAGAAGATAAATGCGAACTAAGAATCAAAGAAATACAGTAATAGATATGTTAAAAATCCTATCTTCCAGAGAAATATTACCTTTACCAGCTGTCCTTCTGATCTTTGGAATGGTGAATTTCTTCAAAGGATTGGCTTCTGTACCAGCAATTGATAAAGGTTCACTGGTTGAACTCATTTTCCATAATGTCTTGTGTTTGGCAATCTGTTTCATTTCCATTTTGTTGTTGGCCTAAAATAAATCCAAGGCTGTTAAGCAAAAAGTCAATAAACATACAAGTGGCAACAGCAGTAAAATCATTTAAAAGTTCTTAAATGGAATATAATTAAAATATATTCTTGGTCATACCGATATGCGGTTTCAATCAATTTGCCAGGTTACCAAAAACAGAAAATGAAATTAGCAACTTTGGTCAATATATAATATTAAAAATATTTATTTTGTAGTTGCTAATAGACCTTTTCCCATAATTCATGTTATTGTAGTAAGGTAGCCAAAAGCTCCTGTCCTCCTAAAAGGCTTAACTTCCAAACAAAAAATCTGTATAAACATTTGGTGAAATTCTTACCAAATACTCTAATTTTGCGAAGTATTTTTCTTCTACACTTCCATCACTTTCACATCAGAATCCCTGGCTTTGGGAAAATTTAGCAAAGTTATTGTGATGGTCAGTTTTATGTGTCAGTTGGCTAAGCTACAATTCTCAATGGTTCAGCCAAATACTAGACTAGTTCCTGTTCCATAATGTAATCTAATCTAATGTAATCACCTTCCATAATGAAATATAATGTAATCAATTGACCAGTCAAAAGGGGAGTTTTCTTAGGGTATGGTCTGGCTCAGACTATAAAGAGGTATTTTATCTCTCTTGGCTCTGTACTCTTCCTGTTGCAGATCTTGGGATGAAAGCCTGCAGAAGTATACAGTCTTCCATGTGGCATATGTATTTTAGACTCACCAGTCCTGTTAACCCCCTAATCCTGTGAGCTGGGAGGAGTAACTATCCTGTTGCTTGAGCTACGTATTTTGGACTTGCCAGCCACTACAACTGTATGAGTCAATCTTTTGAAGTAAATCAGTCAACCAATCCCTCTATCTCAGTGGTTTGGTTTCTACAGAGTACCCTAAGAGTTATAAACCAACTATTTCATTAATAACATGTTCCATGATATCACCATAAATAGTACAAGACAACATCACATATTGTTATACTAATAACAGAAAAATACTTACTTCTTATGCTTTACCACAGCAAAAAAAAAAAAAAAAAAAAGATCAAAAGAAATTGATCTCTTTTTCATTTTCCTAGCTCCTTCCTTCTTACTCTATCTTCCTCTCTCCTGCCTGTCTCTCTCTCTCTCTCACACACACACACACAAATACTGACTCTTAATCTTTAAAGTAAACTCAAACTGGGTATCAAAGGACACCTATAGACCCTCTATATAAAGAAATATATTTAAATGTGTATTTTTCATACCATTTTCTAAAGTTCATGGGCCTCCTGATACCTACCCACTGCTTAGTTCAAAGATGAAGATCACAATCTAAGAATTACCCAAGATTCTACAGAGGCTCACAAAGGATAGTATTCTATAGAAGGTTCACAAAGATTTTTCCCCCAATTCCTGCACCTCCTCTGCCCTTTATAAAAGGTAATCTCGCAACCTCCCAACCAAATAAGGATCAAAATAGGGGCAGAAACTGGTAGAAGAAAACAAAATTAGCCTTTCATCCACTCATAATTATAGATGCTAATGGTGCTCTCTGCAACAACAGTACCCTTAAGATACACCAGCTCCAGAGATAACTGTCAAAACTTCCATATTCATATGGCAGTTTAGTAAGAGGAAGAATGGAGAATTGATTCAGTATGACTTAGATTACAAAAATATTCTTCCATTAGCAATGATCTATCTCAACTGCACACAAAGATATATGTAACAATCAGTTGAATATACTGTACTTGATGAGTCAAGTGCTGAGAAAAATCTTCAATACTGCCTTTAGTTAGTTACTCAGGAAATCTAGGTAATATTTCATCTGTATGGTTTCTTACAAAAATGTTTCTCTACTATAATTTACTGATAAAGACTCCTGAGCATCACATTTTATTCCTCAGTGCTTAAAACAATACTTAGTCCACAATTTAGTCACATAAAAACTAGAATGTTATTCAAAGTCTTCTGTCAAATATGTCACAGCCAGCAATTTTTCAAGTATTACCTTTCAAGAAGGAATAATAATCTTTTAACTTCAGCCCTAACAAATCAGTCATACTAATGTGCTAAGAAATTCACACATTCCTTTATGCTCCATTATCACAGACTTAAAACCATTACATTTAATTCTATGATTTCGATATGCATAGGTAAGAGATGTATTACATTATGTATCAAAACATACATCATATACCATATTCCTATAACCATTACATACATATTATACATATTATTTTTTAATTTTTATATATGTAAAAATAAAATCAGGAAGTTTGAGTCCTGAGGATTCATGCTGAGGTTCTCCTCTGAGGTTCTGGATGAGCATTGGAGAGCAGAGAAAAAATTGTAAAAAACTCAACGCACATGGCAACGTACACAGTAGTTCCCTAACAGATATTCAAATAAATGAATGAATGTACTAACAAGCAAAGAAAGGAACCAGAACCATTAGAGTTCTTCAGCAATTAAAACATTAATTGATATAAGCATTGCTATTGTTATGTGCCATCATTAAGAGTATGTATATTACAAATGACTTCATGCCAATACATTTAAAGGATTAGTAAAATAATAAATTCCTGGAAAACATACAATTTACCAAAACTGATTCAAGAAGAAATAAGAATGAATGATCCTACCAATACTAAAGAGAAATTAAACCAGTAGTTACAAGTAGATTTTCTAAATTAATAAAAATGGTATTAATATATCATAAAACCAAGTTAAGTTCATCCCAGAAATGGAAGGGTGACTTAACAACAAAAGTAAGTAACATTTATCACATAAAGTGAATCAAATGACTGCCTCAACAAATGTAGAAAAAAAGCATCCAATCAAATTCAAAACTCATGATTTAAAAAAAACAATCATAGCAAATACGGAGAGAGAAACATTCACAAATTGATGAAGGATCTCTACCAAACATCTACAGCGAATTGGCAAATAGTCATGTCACAGACAGATCCTTTAAAATTAAGAACAAAATAAGGATATCCATTATTATTGCTTCCTTTTAACACTGGAGGTGCTCAGCAAAAGAAAACAATACAAAAAATGTATAAAAGGAAGTTAAAAGCGAAAGGGGAAAAGTGAACCTAGGTTCTACGGGCTTAGAGATTTCTTGAGTGAAAAATGAGTCTTAGTTCTTATGGGAAAGCTTAGGCCCAAATACTATACATTTTAAGAATGAATGCTACTGAGAAAGGCAAAATATCATAATGATTAAAGTTTGGTTCTACCATTACTTAACAAGGATACATTAGGCAAAGTGCTTATTTCTCTGGAGCTAATAATAAAATCTTTATCTCATACGGTCGAAGAGTCTGGTGTATAGCAACTATACACAATTAACTGTTGGTGTAATGCTGAAGCCCAGTAATGGAACCAAGTTAAGGAGTTGCTTAATCAGCATACTACTGTAAAGATAACTTGGTCAGAAGTTAGGTAATATTGTTCTTGATTCTAGCTCTGCCATTAGCTAATGACGTAACCTTGGGCAAGAGATTAACTTTCCTTTGCAATACATTATTCTGCATGAATTAGTCATGGTAATTAATTTTTTTCAGACAAGTCAGTGGCAAAGGAATAAATCTCCTTTAAGTCAAATACCCACTCTAAATACTCATCCTCTCAAAATCTATCTTAAAAAGATATTTGTACTGAGTTTCCTAAGATTATCATTAAAAATTAAGAATTTAAATTCTCAAGACAACTGCTTATAGATTATAGATTATTAAACATATCTCCAAAGTCTTTTACCTGATTACTATCAAAGAGACTTTAATTAATGGCAAAACTTTGTGTTTTAAGCAAATAACTTAGTGTGACCACTACGCTCATGTTTCCAAGGCTGCACCTCTATGGAAGTAGATTGTCCAATCACCCTTCTGAGGAATGGATGGTAGGTTTGAACCACCAGCCTTCTGGTTACCAGTCAAATGCCTTAGGTACTAGGCCACCAGAGCTTCCTCTAGAGACCTGTTGTTGTTATGTGCCGTTGAGTCGGCTCGACTCATAGTGACCCCTCCTTGGGTTGCCGGGGCAGTATCACTACGGACGTAGATTGCCCAACCTTCCTTCCGAGGTGTGGCTAGTGGGTTTGAACCACCAGCCTTCTCATTAGCAGTCAAGTACCTTAGGCACTATGCTACCAGAGCTCCCTAGAGTTCCCTTAATCAAGACTCAGCTGCTATCAGTTATGTAAAGGCTTCCCAATTTGAGACAATTTAAGATACTTTTAGATAGAAAAAGCATTAGTGAGACAATCTTTTTTTCTCAGTTTTCTTTCAAACTTTAGCATGAATCAATGTGTTCTTAATTTACCTTTAACTTCACTACGAAGCTTGTTAATCTCCCTTTTTAACAAAGACTATGCCACAGGTTCAGGGTCTTCTGGCAGATTATACTGCTGTGCTTTCACTTACTTTTACAATTACTTTTTACCTGTGCCAAATAATACTAATTTCCTGTTTATTTTTTATTTCAAAATATACTAATGTAAAAAGGCAATCTATTTTAAAATATGAAATAAATTTTTGTATTGATGGTATGCAGACATAGAAAGAATCATCCCTCTTCTGGTAAACTCAGGAGATTCCCAATGATAAATTATATTCTTAGAACTTCAGTCACAAAGACTTAAATTCTGAGTTCAGGAGAATTCTAAATGACACAAAGAATTACTTCTGATAAATATAACAGTTAAATAAGA